CTAGCATGTCTTTAAATGGTTCCTTTTCCATGCCCAATGCTTTTCCATGCCCAATGCATGAGGGGATTTTCTCCAGTATTCACTGTGAGAATGTTAGTTGATCTCCTGAAGGTAAAACTCTTAGAAAAGTGTGGGACATCCCCACCCCCGCCCTGAGTGGGTCCCCCTGGAGTCTTTAACTCTTAGACTCGTCCACACTAAACTTCCAGCAATTGGTCAGTTACAGTTTAGATTTTCCTACCTTGGCACTGGTTACTGTGGAGGTTTCTGCTTGGCAAAATGTGATTTTCTGTACTCACCTATCTCTCCAAACTTGGGTGGCTGCAGTTTATCCTGTATCCTCACTCCTCTGATGGATCTAAAAAGGATTGTTAATCTTTTCATTTGTTCAGCTTTTCATTTGTTGTTAGGATGGAGTGGCCACTTCCAAGCTCCTTATATACTGAATCCTTCTCCAATTTTTTATAACCTCTAATTTCATGGGCACAGCACAAAACCAAAACATGACAGTTATAAATATCTTTACAACCTTAAGATAGGGAAGGAATTTCAAAACAAGACAAAAGCATGACCCATAAAAGAAAGGTATATAACCTTTCATATACCAAAAAGAGTAATATCAATATATTCAACTGTATTAAAATTAAGACAGTTCATCTCTCTTCCACATGGCATCATTGGGGTGGCTCAGCTGGGGCCAGAGGATCCAGTTCCAAGAAGGTTCATTCACATGGCTAGCAAAACTGGTGCTGGTTCCTCTACACAGACCTCTCTAAAGGGTAGCTTGTGCTTCCTCATACCATGGTGGCTGCATTCCAAGAGCAAGTGTCCCAGGAGACAGGAAGTGGAGGCTTCCATTTAAGACTTAAGCCCCAAAATTAGTATAGTGTCATTTTCACCATATTCTACTTACTTAAGCAGTCATAGAGTTCAAATTCAAGAGAAGAATAGACCGTACTCTTCTATGAGAAGAGGGTCAAAGAATTATGGACCATGTTTTTAAATCCCTTCACTCTACTCTCTGGACATAAATTATTTACATTTTGCCTGCTTGGGAAATTTATTCTTCTTGCAAGATTCTCCATTTAAAGTCCCATCCCTTTACAACATCAGGCTCTGGATCTAGGATCTCATCAGCTATATCAGATCCAGTTGCAAATGAAACCTCTCAGGTGCAGTTCTCAAGTTTAGTAGCTCCTTGAGTGTACTTCTTCTCAATCTGAAGATCTGTGAACTAAAGAAAAATGTTGTCCACTCCCCACAGGTATAGGATAACTTACAGATATACCCATTCAAAAGGGAACAGTCACTGGTTTGTAGAAATTCTGAAATCCAGCAGGGCACATGTTGCCAGTTCCTTAATTAGATCCAATACTACTTTCCTGGGGTTTTCCATGGGTCTTAGTTTTGTCTTCTGAATCATCCTTCCTTTTCCATAAGAAAACTAAGGTTGCTTTCTTGGTCTTCATCCCATCTGGAAAAGGTTTGGGTCTAAAGGATTCTTTCATTTTGTACTATTTCTGTCCCTTTTAATCTGAGCTGACAGTGTTTATGAATGATTCTCTTAGAAACTTGAGGGGTTTTCTGTGACTACCATTGAGATTTCCTTCATTAGACAAAAGTCACAACCTTGAATCTTTTAAAGGTAAGCCCTTCCCTACTTTGGGCTTCCAATATGGCTGCTAGGAGACAATGCCTTTAAGATTCTTAAAAACTTAACCGTTTAAGGGAAAGAATCTGCAAAGCTGACCCTTAAGATTCCTGGAGGGCCTTTTGGTCAGAAGGAATCTATGAAGCATGGTCTTAAGTCATTCTAGCCCCTTAATAAATTATTTTATTGCCCCACTCTGTATTTGATCCTTTCTTAATTTAGAATTGTTTGTCTTCTGGAAGGACTAGAAATGAGAAGCACTTTTATTTGTGGAATCCTGGGCTTTTTTATTTTTTATGTTTTTTTTTTAAACTCATCTCTCTCATTTTGCATTTTTATCATAGGCAGTAAGAAGCCACCTGGCACTTTAATTACTTCGTCTGGAAATCTCTATCTACTTCACTGAGTCCACCGGGTACACTTACTTCCTGGTTCCACGTTACTGCAGGTGACAGTGTTGTCAAACTCTACATCACTACCTAGCAAGTGTCTCCCATCCTTCATCTTCCAATAAGATTTTCCTCACTTGCCTTAAGTGCTCACTGACAGCCTCCTCAAAACCTTGTAGGCTTCCACTCTCAAGTTTCTAAAAGAAGCCTTCTGGTAAAAGCATTATCAGGGACAGAGACAGTACAAAACAAAAAGAATCCTTTGATTCCGCCACCTTCTACAGGCTTCTACTTCAGCCCTTTATGCTTTCACTCCTACCCTTTTCATGGCCCTGTATTGCTGCTTTCTGCTTCCCAGTCCCAAAGCCAAAGCCATGTGTGTTATGCTTTTATTACTGCAGCACCCTATTTCTGGTACCACAGTCCCTTCCACTAATCCTTTGCTACACAGCAAACCACCACCAATTGTGTCTGCTCCACGCAGTGTCAGCTGACATGGTTGACAAGGATTGGAGGACCCACTTCCACCAAGTGGCTAACAAGTCACTTGTAGCTATGGATTTCACTCCACGTGGACTTCGCCACAAGGTGGTGGGTTCTACTCACACATGGTAGTTGGGTTCTAAGAGTGAATGTCCCAAGAAAGCGGAATGTTGTTTTGTGGGGAGGGCCACATTTTTAAAGGTTTTATAGTTTAGGAGCACCTGGGTGGCTCTGTCATTTAAGCATCTGCCTTCGGCCCGGATCATGATCTCAGGGTCGTGGGATCAACCCCAGTTTCAGACTCCGGCTGCTGGAGATTCTCTCCCTCTGCCCCTCCCCACCACTCATGCTCACTTGCTCTGACTCTGAATCTCTCAAATAAACAAATATATCTTTAAAAATAATACTAAAGGTTTTATAGTTTGCCACTTCACACTTCAATCCATGTAGAATTTCTCTTTATAATCATCACTGGGCTGGTTATATTTTTTCTTTTCATATGTTTTAATTAAGTAAAATTTACATGCAGTGAAGTGTACGTATCTTAATGTACAATTAGATGAGTTTTAATCTGTGTAAGCACCATGTAACCACAACCTAAGTCAAAATAAAAGTCATTTCTACTGCCCCTAGAAGTCATATCATACATCCTTATGATCAGCCTTCTCTCCTACCTTTATTCTGATTTCTATCACTGTAGATTAGATTTTCCTATTCTTCAACTTAATATATAAATAGAATTATATATACCTTTTGTATCTGCTTTCTTTCACTAAAAATAATGTTTTTAAGAAGCACCCTATCAATAGTTCATTCTTTTGTACTGTTAAGTGCTATTCTGATAAATGAATACACCATAATTTGTATATGTATTCTCTTGTTGACAGACATTTGAGTCGATTCTAGTTTTCTGCTGTTATGACTAAGCTGCTATGACCATTCTTATGGGTGTCTTTTCATAGATCTGTGTCTTCATTTATTTTAACTACTCTTCCTACTCCTTTGAGTTTCTACATTTTTACTTGCTTTATTTGCAGTGAAAGAGTCATATCACCCACTTTACCTGCTACTTTCAGTAGATCTGCCTCACACCCACCTCCAGAGGCACCTGCCCATTCTTGGGCCTTTTGTGAATTATAATTAATTATAATTTAATTATAATTATAATTAAAAAACAGCTTGATTCTTATTTTTCCCCATTGTTGGTTAAGGATTCCGCTTTTTGGGGGTCAGTCAATTGCTACTTTGTTTATCTGCTTTCCAGCTTCCAAAGTTTTTAGCTATCTCCCTTATTGTCTGACTCACTTTAGAGGGTTTTAGGAGAGAAGGGAGTTGAATGTGTATTTCAATTCCTCTTGCTTACCTTTTACCTTTTTTCCTTCTTCTTTTTCCACCTGTCACCTTCCACACCCTGCCTTTCTCGCTATTTTCCATTTCCTTCTCTTCATCTTGTTTTGCCTTAGAATTAAGTGAGGAGTCCTCGGACAGCACATGACTTAGCCCCCTCACTTTCCAGAGGCTAAAGCTGAGGCCCCCCTGCATGAGAACGGTGGTCCATCCACAACCAACCCAGCTACGCGCTTAGCTTTTTTTGCCTTTAATAGCAAGAAAGGCCCTTTGCCCACCTCCTCCTTTAGTTAGTGATCCATGGCAGTGTGCGAAAGCAGAGTACCCCTGTTCAAATGGGGCCTTAAACGCACATCAGAAGAGAGAATGTCATAACTGACCAGGCTGCCATGGGTCCCCTCTGGAGACCAAGAAAGTACCTCCATTGCCCACTCTGTTCCCTGCCTAGCACCATGCCAGGTAGAGGGTTGCAGTAGGAGAGAGCCCTGCTGGCTTGACAGGAGAGACTCCTGAAATGAGCAACACTCTCCACATGGGACCCTCTAGCCCTTTCCATGGTTTTCTTTATTCCCATATTTGTCTATTTCACCGCTTTCTTTGGGCCTGACTACTAATGCAGAAGATAACAAATAGATTCCCAGCCCCAGAACAAAAATCAAGGCAGGTAACCTGTGGCGTGACCATTCTAAGTGCAAGGCCAAACACACACAAGCACACACTCTGGCTAACATTGCCATGGTCCCTACCACTCCGACACACATAACATAAGAGATCCAAAGAATGTGTGAGGTGACCAAGTATTGAACATGAAAGTGCATACATCTGCAGGAATTGTTTAGATTCCCTTTTCCGTGCACAGAAGACAAAGTACAAGTTCTGGGCCTTGGCTTTTGGTCTGGACTGTTCTTCCAGCAGGCTGTGTTCCCAGAGCCTTTGGTCATGCATTTTGGGCTGGCTGCAGCTGGACGCAGGCCCCCACCCCATCCCCCTCCTGGTGTTCCACTAGCCTAGCAGCTGAGAGTCTTGCGAGGGACCGGAGCCCAGAGTGCGAGAGACAGAAGAGAGCACTGTTCTATCACTTCTGTAACCCAGACGCTTTGTAAGCTGCTTTGGCTCTTTGTCTCCTGCAGTTTGTATTTACTTGAACAAGAATGGCAGCCCAGGCCCCCACTTAGATAAGAAGAAGGTCCAGCTGCTCCCTGACCATTTTGGGCCGGCCCGCGCTTCCGTGGTGCTGCAGCAGGCTGTCCAGGCTTGTATCGACTGTGCGTATCATCAGAAAACCGTCTTCAGCTTCCTCAAACAGGGCCACGGTGGTGAAGTTATCTCAGGTAAGTGCCCTTGGGCCAGTGTGGCCTCCTAGTCAGAGGGGCAGGCCTTCTCCACTGGCTGATTTCTGGCAAAGTATCCCGGTTCCTACTCCGTGCCTGTAGGCTCTGTTGAAATGGGGAGGGATTCCATTCCTCTGAGAGTCCTGCTTTTCAACTCCTGGGACCCTTCTGAGCGTTACACACACCTCTGCCAAGCAGAATACCCACACAGACTCCGCTTATAAGCCCCTGGGCAGACTCCCGTCCTGCTACCTGCTCAGCCCCTGCATACAGAAAGTAGATGTCTGTTGCTTTCCAGAAGAAAGAATCCAGAGGGGCTGCACTGTGGCAACAGGAGCTTCTCCAGACTGCCACAGCCTCCTGCCTAGCCTTGGAGGGACCACAGGACTCTTGTAATGTGCTTCTGACTCCTTAGCCACCCGGTCCCAAGCCAGCCCTGGTACAAGGAAGTTGAATCCCAGGGCAGAGCGGGAAAAACCATTTCCTCTCTTTCTCCTGCTGTGTCTGATTCAACTGCACTGTGTTTTTTGTTGTCATTGAGAATATTCACTTTTTCTCCTGTGCCCTGGTTCTGTTTCAGTGTTTCTAAGTCCAGAACCCTATTCCTTACCCATCAAACCCATGAAGACTTGACCTGGAGCCTTTCAGTCTCAACCGCTTGATACTACATAGTCTCATACCCCTTCCCTCTAACAAGTTGCAGTATCAGCTTCAGGAAACCCAGCTATCATGGAAGACTCCATGAATACCTGTATTCTTTTAGAAGACCCTATAAATAATTCTTATTTTGTTAGCAAACCTTTAGTGAGCGTTTATTATATGTCCAAGGTTATTGCCAGATCCTGGCCAGGGGAGAGGGAGGAAAGATGATAGGTGAGAGGTGTTCTGATGTATGAGAAATGTGTATAGGGTGGTGTGGGAGCCCAGGCTAGGGAGCAGTTGGCTGTGTGGAGGATGGGAGCAGGCATGAAAGGCATTGTTCTAGAAGCCTGAGGGACTGCTGGGAAATCAAGCCTCCTTCTGAGGAAGACTTCTGTGCCGTATAGTCTGCGGGAACCCAGCCTTCCCTGCTACCTCTGTGGAGTTACTGTTGCCCACACCTTCTCTAGGGTTCCTCTTCTGCTCCAAAACTGGTTCTTGGGAATGGCCTATCTCTTCATTACCTTGCTGCCCTTAGAGACAAATGCAAAAGCCTGCTTTGTAAGGCTTATACAGATACTTCTTGAATAGAAATAGATAGGGAGTAAAATAAAACCAGGCGTGGGATGCTTCCAAATGTTACTTAAACTCTGGCACCCTTATACAGATCAGATTGTGCACCTAAACCATTACTGGCAACAGCTGTATTCTCATCTGCCCAGCTTCTCTGTTCTCGGGCAGTTCTTAGGGAAATAGAACCCGAAATGAGCAGATTTCCTGGAGGAGGCCCAGCCAGCTGATGGAGCAGATAGAGTCATGTTCACAGTCGTTTTCACAAGTTGAGTGAAATCACACCAGAACCCCTGCAACAGACCTGGCTTGGCCACTCCCATTACTGCCAGGCCTTTGGAGTTGGAGGCAAAAACCAAACCCTTGAGGGAGGGAGGGGAAGGGAGGGGAGGGAGGGGAAAATCCTGGGCACTGATTGCTTTGTGTAACCAGGTAAGCCGGAGGCAAGCAGTAGGCTGGGCTCTTCCTGCCCCGCTCTGCCCTGCACTGCCAGACTGACGTGCTCAGCCCTGTTTCCTTAATTCCACAGCCGTGTTTGACCGTGAGCAGCATACTCTCAACCTCCCAGCAGTCAACAGCATCACCTACGTCCTGCGCTTCTTGGAGAAACTCTGCCACAACCTTCGCAGTGACAATCTGTTTGGCAACCAGCCCTTTACACAGACTCACTTGCCACTCACCACCACTGAGTACAGCCACAGCCACGACAAGTACCTACCAGGTAGGAGCTGGGATGGGGCCGGGGCTAAGAACGGGGCACAGGGCTAGCTGGTAGCAGTGCCAGTGAGGGCCCTGGGGCCGGCCCTCACACCTGCCAGCCTGGTACCTATGCTCCAGAGACCTGGCCTTCTGTTCCTTGCCTTTGCCATTCCTGGGACTCCTTGGTCTCTTCCAAACTCTGTTCTTTCCAGGATTTTGTCTCCTATCTCTAGGATTAACCTTCTCTCCTCTGGATTTTTATCCCTAGAAAATGGTGGTTCACAATTCCCTTTCTGAGCCCCACGCAGCACGTGAAGCCACCATGAAGTCACAGCACCCCTCCTAGGGTGAAGCCGGCAGCAAAGGCCTAAGGGAGCTCTCCCTTGCCAACAGGAAGGTTTAGTCTCAGGCTACAGATTGAGAAATGCGCTCCCTCGTGATTGGCCGTCCACTCTTTCCTTTGGCGCGTGGCCCTAGCTCCTCTAGCACTGCCTGTCTAGCAAGTCAATTCAAGTTCCTGCCATCTCGACCTGAGGTGGAAAATAACTTTCTCAGTTAGTAGAGCAGACCCACAGCGGGAAGGCGGAGGCCACGTGGCCCTGGCCAGATCAGTGACTAAGCACTTCCGAGAGAGGTTACTGAGGGAAAGGAGATCAGCATCGCTTATCTGCTGCCCCGGACACAGAACGGAGGGGAGGAGAGCTCGGCCCCACACATAGTAAGGTAGGTCACTGTGGAGAGAGGGAGCAAAGGCCCTTGAGAAGAGTCTCGTGGAACTCATCCTGGGCAGAGGAGCAGAGAGGTGGTGCCATCAGTGCCAGGGCTGTGCTCATTGCTGAAGGAGCCAAAGTCAGAGAGGTGCCCACCCCTCTGACCTGCCCAAGTCTTGTTCCACAGTATCTTTTTATCGTCATCTTAATGGAGTCACTCCTGATAAAAGTGCCACTTCTAGAGAACGTGCCTGGGGAAGTGACTTCTCACCCAGCTCCCCAACCCTGCCTTCATCTATGTCTGTGCACCCCAAAGACCGCTGCTCATATGACTTACCTGCAGGGCAAAAAGACAAGCTGAATTTCAGGTACTCCTTGGGAGGGCCAGACCATCTGGTCCTGCAGACATGTCTGTGCCCCCCTCACTGATCCATTTCTTGGGAGGGAACTTCTTCTTTAACCTCTTCCCCTACTTGCTTTCATCATTAGAATCTGAGAACAGAAAACAGCTTTCTTATCATATTGCACTGGGATCTGGGCTGGGCATGGCGGGGAGGGGGGCAGACAAAGGCAGTTGTTAAATATCCCTAGCTGGTGGCCTTCAGGAACTCTGAGCTGCACTCAGTAATGAAAGTGAAGCCTACCTGAGATTCTGGAAGATGAATATCATGAGAGGAGATAGTGTACACCAAGGCTAGCTGCTTGTCTAAAGAGATTTCTCAAAGAACCAGGAATCCAGAATTTTTAAGTGGAGTATCATCACTAAGAGCGAAGAGAATCACACTGGTAGCAGCATGGAGAGGCCAGGAGGGGTGTATTGGGCCTGCAGTCATGGAGGGAGTTTGGAATCAAGGCCTGGTATTTCCTGGGAATTGTTTCAGTTTGCATCTCTCTGATTCAGCTGCCAGATAGGAGGAAGCAAGCTTTGGCCACTCTGCCCTCTTGCCTCATCAACTAAGAGACAAAGACCAGGGTTATCACATTCCGCCACAGGCTGCCCCTATTCCTGCCCTCATTTCCAGATGATTCAGCCAACTCTGTGCCTTCCTCTGCCCACTCTCTAACTTCTGTGGCCCATCCTGGGTGCTCAGCAACTTGGCTGCTCTCACCCCAGTTTCTGTTTACTTCCCTGAAGTGAGCGTTCTAATTGTGCCCAGACAAGCCAGAGCTTTGCCCAGATTTCTCACCCCTCTATGCTCCTTTGCTTATCTTTCCTGCCTGCTTACCTGCCTGCCTGCCTTACTGACCCTTTGCTCCACCTCTGATCATCTGTTATTTCTTGTACTTTCCTGTTTACTTACCCCAGCCTCTGCCAAACAGCTTGGTCTGCACAGGGCTGTCTTTTGCTTTGCCCCTTGGATCTGGAATTTATCACTGCTGCCCTTCTACCTGGCTACGTACTTCTACTAGTTCAGCACCCAAAACTACCAGCTCTCTTATCTACGTACTTACTGGAGCCCCCCCTCCCCTTCTCTACAGCTTGTCTCCACACTACCCTAGCCCTCAGAGTTTGGACCTGACTGACCATGCATTTCTGGTATAGCAGGTCCCATTAGGCTTCCATATCTAAGTTGAGACTTCACTTTTTTCCTCTAGTGTTTTATTTTGAAAAACTTCAAACCTACAGAAAAGCTGTACAAATAGTAGAGTGAGCAACCATGCACTCTTCATCTAGATTTACCACTTAACTTTTTGCAATATTTACTGTACTTGCTTCTCTAAGTACATGCACATATATTAGTGCCTGTGTATTTTTATTTATTTATTTTATTTATTTATTTATTTTTATTTATTGAATTTGAGAGTTAACTGCAGATGAGAGCCTTAATCCTCAATAAACTTTCCTATGTATCTCCTAGGAGCAAGGAACACAGTACTATTATCTCACTCAAGAAATGTAACGTTAATCAACTCTACTAGTTGATATATATATGGTTTGTATCAAGTCTCCCCAGTTGTCCCAGTAATGTAGTTTTAGCTATTTTTCCCCCTAATCCAAGATCCAGTGAAGGGTCATCCACTACATTTAGTTGTTCTATCTCTAGTTCCCTTATATCTACAGCAGTTTTCCATACTGTTTTCTACCTTCCATAACATGACACTGGCATTTTTACAAGTCCAAGCCAGTTGTCAAACACTCTGTGCCAGATCCTGAGGAGCCAGATATTAAACAGACTCCATCCCCTCTCTGAAATCGTGCCAGCTGAGAGAAAGGCATAGGTAGACATACTTGTGGTGTGAGCCGGGAATGATGAGCAATGGGCAAGGTGAAAGAAGAGGTTAAAAAGAGTTACTGGGGGAGGCAGTGCCAGATTAGGGGTGCAGTGTCAGGTAAGAGGCCTGTGAAGGTGAGGTCACAAGGAGCTCCTTCCAGCCCTCAGAACAGACTGAGTGAGACAGGATATAGCTAATATAGCTGGTCCCACAGACTCTTAATCTTATTACAGCTACCCAGCGTTAACCTCTAGGTCTTCTATTTAGAGACTGCCCAGATTCCTCTCTGCTGGAGGAAGGGGTTCATTTGTCCCATGGTGGTAAGCTCCCTGTGCCTGTCTTTCTAAATTGCCATGCCAGGTCTTCTGAGCTTATAAAGTGGTTCTCCTTCAAAATCCTAACATTCACAGGATTAAAGCCAAATAACTGTGAACTCTGTTAAGATGCCCCTTCATCCCCATACAGAGTTTCCTTGTAGAACTGTCAATTCTAAGATGACACATAATTCATTAAATCTGTATTTAGTCTATTACCCAGTCAGTCAATCAGAATTTATTCACTGCACAATGCCAAGCTCTGGTTTAGGCACAGAGAGTTCCACAGTAAACTAGGAGTCCAGGTCCTTACACCAAGTTTACAGCCTAGTAAACAAGAGGAACAAACAAGTGAACAGTGAACTTGTGGTGATATACTTTAATAGGACAAGTTCCAAGTTCAGCAGTTCAAGCCAGATGTCAGGGATGACTTTCCAGAAGAAATGATATATCTAAGCTTGGCCCTGAAAGAGCAAGATAATCAGGTGAAGATGCCACAGACCCAAGGAGATGGAGGAGGGGAGTGAGGAAGAATGCTCCGGTTGACTCAATAGCACGTGTGACTGTGAGGGACAAATGGGAGCACAACCCAGGTCAGAGGAACTGGGTGTCTGTAGGTCTGGGAACCACAGTGGCAGGGAGGCAGCAGCCGAGTTGGAAAAGCTCTAATTGACCACGTTAGCGGCTTTACCTCATTGCGCAGTGAGGACCCAAGGAAGGGGCACAGTCAGTCCTGTGCTTCAGAGAGGTCACTCAGGATCCTGTGTGGGTAAATGGCTTGGTGTGGAGAGACATGGTAGGCAGGGAGACTGGCTGGAGGTTTTTGTGGATCTGTGAGTCCTCTTAGATTTGGGGATGATCCTTTCCTTTGATATCCAAATCTGAATAACATAAAATGAATACCCACCCTATGTAATTCAGACTAGGTTCCCTGCTCTGACTCAATTCTTATCCTCTTCTTTCCATGACCACTCTCAGAGCTGACCATCTCTCCCTAAGCTCCTTTGTCCCAACTTTTGATCCAGTTCCTCAGCCTTCATTTCCCTAAGGGAAAATGAACACAAGGCTGCTAAGTGTAATAAACTAATACTGAAGCTCAGGAGGTAAAAAAGAATTGTCACAAAGAACAGAAAGCATTTTAACATATTTGTTTTAATCTTAATGTTTATCAGTGGGGCACCTAGGGGACTCAGTCATTTAAGCATCCAGTTCTTAGTTTCAGCTCAGATCACGATCTCAGAGTTAAGAGATTGAGGCCCACGTTGGGCTCTGCACTCAGCTGAGAGTCTGCTTGAGATTCTCTCTCTCCCTCTCTTTTAACTCTCCCCCTACACTCATGTGCTCTCTCTCTCTTTTTTTTTTTTTTAAAGATTTTATGTATTTATTAGAGGACATAAGAGTGAGGAAGCACAAGCAGGGGGAGCGGCAGGCAGAGGGAGAGGGAGAAGCAGGCTCCCCTCAGAGCGGGGAGCCCAGTGTGAGGCTCCATCCTAGTACCCTGGGATCATGACCTGAGCCAAAGGCAGACGTTTAACCAACTGAGCCACCCAGGTGCCCCTCTCTCTTTCTGTCTTAAATGAAACAAACCCCCCCTCAAAAAAAAAAAAACTTAATGTCTATAGTTATTATAGGATATATCTTACTGGCCTCCTTCACCTTAGGCCTCAGCCTGCTGCCATTTCCAGGACCCACTCTGGGCCTGGGGGATTTTCTTCTCTATTTTCTATTCCTTCCATCCTCCTCCTTTTCCAGCTACCAGCAGGCAACTCCAAATTAATTTATCATACACCATCATTTCATTTCATTTGGTCTCTGTTTTCCCTGACCTTGTCTTTCATAACCATAATTATATAAATAAAACAACATAATTATATAAATGAAAGAACCATGTAGCCCACAGATCTATACTTTCAGCAACTCAAAGAACAAAGACAAAAGCTATTGGTGGAGAGATTTATTCCATCTATCCTGTGTTTTTTTCTGCCTTCCTGTGGATTAATCCAGTTGTGTGGGTTTTTTTGTGTGTGTGTCTGTGTCTGTGTGTGTGTGTGTGTGTGTGTGCTGTTTTGTTTTTTTAATGATTTTGTTCTCGTTGGCATCCTGGGTCATGCTTCTGTCCTTTGCAATTTTTCTTAGGGATCAAGTGGTTAGGTAATGCTTGGGATTCATTGGGGCCACCAGTGAATCCTAAAACCAAGCATTGTCTAGCACACCTCCACTTGGACTCTCCTTCAGGCCACAGCTTTTAAACATCAACTTGTCAGGAACAGTTCTCAAGGTCTCCTCATCTTAAAAAAGCTCCCCTTGGGCAGCCCTGGTGGCTCAGCGGTTTAGTGCTGCTTTCAGCCCAGGATGGGATCCTGGAGACCTGGGATCAAGTCCCACGTCCGGCTCCCACGTGGAGCCTGCTTCTCCCTCTGCCTCTCTCTCCCTCTCTGTCTCTCATGAATGAATAAATAAAATCTTAAAAAAATATATTACTAAGCAAAGGAATAGGATATTAAGACAGAAAATAACAAGGGGAGCTTTTTTTTTTTTAAGATTTTATTTATTCATGAGAAACAGAGAGAGAAAGAGAGAAAGGCAGAGACACAGGCAGAGGGAGAAGCAGGCTCCATGCAGGGAACCCGGGATGCGAGGACGATCTGGCTGCAACATCTGTCACCCCATTGATCGCCAGGGTTGATTTGGCTAATCTGGCTGGCTAGGCGGGTGTCCCCGTCCTCCCTCACCGCCCCATGTGCGTCCCTCCTGAAGCTGCGCACTTGATCGAAGAGGACGACCATCCCCGATAGAGGAGGGCTGTTCTTTCGTCAAGGGTATACGAGTAGCTGCGCTCCCCTGCTAGAACCTCCAAACAAGCTCTCATGCAGGGAGCCCAACGTGGGACTTGATCCCGGGTCTCCAGGATCACACCCCGGGCCAAATGCAGCGCTGAACTGCTGAGCCACCCAGGCTGCCCTGCTTAGTAATATCTATAGTAGGTTCTCACTTTTTATAAACTTGTGCTTGTCATCCTTCCCACTTAGGTTACCTATTCCATGAGGAGGGGGAGGGACAGTATCTGGTTTTTGCATCGTTCTCCATATCCATCATTGTCCCATAGCAAGTATTTAACAATATTTGTTGAATGAAAGTGTAGTAGAGAATGTCGGACATACAGTTCAGAGAAGGATTTTTTTTTTAATGAGACAAACTTAAGCATACACAAGAACTCTGGGACCTGTGTTGGTGGAAGAATTTTCTTAGATACGTAGCACGAGTCCATTCATTCATTTCACCCCTGGAAGGGGAAAGCGTGGTTGTGAGCACAGAGTCCTTGAATCTCAGAAGGGGAGAGTCCTCTGGAGGTGATCTAGTGTCTAGCCCAACAGATGAGGGTAGTTATCTGACTTCTGCTTAAGTGCTCCCGATGACAGGTTGCTCACCCTCACCTTCAGCAGTCGATTTTGTTGAACACTTCTGATGGCTAAAATGCCTTCCCTTTTGAACCAAAATCGGTCTTCTTATAACTCCTTTCCCCCATTTTACTCTCTGACTTTCAAAAAGGCCAATCTGCCTCCAGTTCTCTTCCCTTCCTATGACTGCCGTTAGGGTATTTGTCTCCCCTGACTTTTCTCCAGACTCTATATTCCCAGGCTCTTTCTCCTTTGCATGATTTCTAGACTTCTCCCCGCCAGTCTTGCCATCTTCCCCCTGGGAACTCTAGTTTTTAAGGTAGCCTTGCAAGGTGATACTTAGAGAAAATCTGCTTCTAACTGAAAATCAGTGGGTAAGGAAAGCTCCTTATCTGTTGTTTACCTCTGTACACCCCCTCCCTAGCATAGCAGCTAGTACACAAATGTTCGTTGAATGTAGGAATGAGCTCCCTCTCATACTGACTTTTCTCATGTCTCTAGCACATCCATGGCAAATTTAATATAAATTGACCCTATGAGGCATCTTTTCATAGATGGCCAAACTGAATCCCAGAAAAAAGGCAGTGATCACCAACCAGTAATCAGGCCAGAAATTGAACTCAAGTCTTTCAGCCCTAACTTCTGAGCCCTGGGCCAGTGGTTGCAAAGTTTCTTTTGTTTCAGTAGTAGAACTCTTTTTTGCAAAGTTAAGATTATATGAGAACTCTGGTGTATAAAAGTTAAAACCAGAGCTATTCTGCTAGAAGCTGGCCTCCCTGTGGAAGTCCTCAGGGCTCTGTGGAGCAATTTGAAAGCACTGCAGTGTTCTATACAGCATTGTCTTACTGAAGCAGCCAGGGCCTTGTTCAGTTGGCCTTAAGTGGACTAGGACCTCCCAGAGCCCTAGACATGATTCTTCATTTGGCCACTACATCTCATTAGTGGAGGTTTGATGACAATGCCAGTCCAGGTGCTACCCATCCAGATTTCCAGGCCCCTCAACTCAGACTCCAGGGCTCAGGTGCCATTCCTAGCATTGCTGAGAGGAAGACACACTGACTTGCATCAGCAGCTGGTGAGGCCCTGGGACTGTCATAATAATTCACATCTGTTAGCGCAGGGTAGGCAAGTGGTACTGGCCCCAGGCTTTGCCGGGTAAGATGAGGTCTAGAAAGGTGAGATCACCCTGCCAACACATGCAGAAACTAGATGTCAGCTTTTTCTTGAGTTACTGCAGAGGACTTGGGTTTGCCATTCTAACTCTGAGTGAAGAATAAATAAAATGGCAGGTCCCCACCTTGATAAAGTCCGTCCCATTGCATCTTCTCATCTGTTGTTTTCAGCATGACAAAGGGTGATTTTTTCCCCCATTTTACAGATGAGGAAGCTGGTGCTGAGAAAACACAGCTTGCCTGGGGTCAAATACCTAGTGAAAAGCAGGAGCTCAGGCCTAGAATGCAGGCCTCCTGTCTGAGGGTCTGTGCTCCTGTTCTTGTCTCAAAATGAGATGCTGCTATGGTCATCTCTTCTAGAAAACAGGAATCTGAAAGCTCATCTGCAAAAAGGGGTGGGCTGTGGTTCAGGTACCCAAAGCTTCTCTCTTCAGAAGCATTTCTGGGGAAGGGTTTCATCAGTCCCAGTCCCTGAGAGAAGGGCCAGTAGCTCTCTCCTGCTAGACTTGACTTTATGCCCCTGGTTACCAAGCAAGTTCAGGGGAGTATTAGAAAGTAGTCCTAGAATCCACAGAGGTCTTACTATGTGCCAGACATTGTGCTCAACTGTAGTGTTGACCACAGGCCCTAAGTGAGTCCCAAGCATTACCTAAATAGCCGAGACCTCTAAGAAAAACCACAGAGGACAGTGGTATGATGCCCCAGGAGCCAGGATGCCCTCCATAGGCAGAGATGCTGTGACCAGGGTGAGAAACTGGCCTGTTGCAGGTAGACTCCAGTCATGAGAGGGAACCTGCTTCAGGTTCTGGAGTGCACTGTCAGGGGCTGCTGCCTGCTGCTGGACCTCAGAAGAAAAGAAAGGCACTTCCCGTGTTCTAAATGAGAATGTGGCTCCTAGAGAAGCACCTTGCCTACTCAGTGCCAGAGCCAAGTTTTAACCCTGATTCTGGTCTCCACAGCCCTACTCTCACAATTGCAGAAGCCTGGCTTCCTTGGAGTATTTCTCTTGAGCAAGGCAAATAAGAAAGGAGGGAAGGGAACATAGGAGCAGACCTTTCACAGACAGACCTTTAGCCAAGCATTGAAGAGCAACATTAAATGTCCTGCTGGCTGAGAGGGTCACCTTCTAAAGAACCCTCATCTAAGCAAGTGTATCTCTTCTCCAGCACCAGTCCTCTGCACTTGCATCTCATGTGCAGGGAGGCAGCCTCTTCCTAAAATAGCTCTATTTGTTTTAAGGTTTTCCTTATCCAGAAAAAGCATAAGACAGCCAGTCTGGAAGAAACTTCAAAGACCACTAGTCTAAAACGAAGAATCTCTAAGGAGATCCAAGCCGAAAGAGTGGCATTGGGCTTGACCAAGGCCACCTAGTGAGAGCCTGAGACACAGCCCAGGGCTTCCTGTTTTGCTGCCTCTTGCTCCAAACAGGTACCTGGGAGGCCAGCACCCTGCCAATCATTCCAGGGTAGTTCCTGCTCTAACTCTGGCTTTACTGTTTTCCAGGTGAAAGCTTTGTCTTGGGGAATAGTCTGACTCGGTCTTTGGAACCACACTCAGACTCAATGGACTCTACCTTGAATCCCACCAACCTTGTCAGTGGCTCCCAAAACCTTCGAACCCATGGGTACCGGCCTTTGCTTCCATCCTGTGGCCTCCCACTGAGTACTGCCTCAGCTGTGCGCAGGCTGTGCTCCAGGGGTAAGCTGACCGGAGTTCCGGCATTCCCACCCTCCCTCACTCTTTCCTTCTTCCTCACTCAGATCTGATTGCCCCTCATCTGGTAGTTGGACTCGGGTCTAGACTTACCATTCGTGTCTGACTAGGTATCCGGGGGGCAACTGAAGCTCTGGAATTGGCTTGAGAATAATGAAAACTAAGAGCCAAAGACCTAGAATCAAAGGGACAGGGAAGGATACACATTCACTTATTACCCATTTATTTGAACATCATCTGTGTTTGGCATGGGAATGCAAAAATGGATCACTTCTTGTCCTTAAGGAGCTCACAGTCTTAGGGGAGAAACAAACAGTACTTCAACACGTAATTGTAAAACATCATCTTGAATTCAGAGATATGCTGTGAGTAGTATGAAAACTGTAAGAAGTGGGATCCCTGGGTGGCGCAGCGGTTTAGCGCCTGCCTTTGGCCCAGGGCGCGATCCTGGAGGCCCAGGATCGAATCCCACGTCGGGCTCCCGGTGCATGGAGCCTGCTTCTCACTCTGCCTGTGTCTCTGCCTCTCTCTCTCTCTCTCTGTGTGTGACTATCATAAATAAATAAAAATTTAAAAAAAAAAAAAAACTGTAAGAAGAATCACCTAACCCAAGCTTGGTGTCCAGGGGAAGCTTCTTTGAGGAAGTGACACCATCTCTGACTTAAAAGCCTGACTGTATGAATGGTGATCTCAAGGGTAGTAGGGGAGAGAGCTCTCCAGAAAGAGAGTGTAGCAGGAGCAAGGGCAAAGGGATAAGAACCGGTACAGGTGGTGTGCATGGAACTGCATGCACTTTGGTATTGCTGAACATAAAATGTCATACTGGGACTTCAAGCAGAAAAGCCTGGGAAGGTCAGAGGCTACTTCATAGAGGACCCAAATGCCATGGTAGAGTTTGGAGTGGATCCGGCAGGCAATGTGAAGCTGCTAAAGGCTTCTAATTAGAGGTGAGACCTAAACAGGTTTGTGTTTTCAGTAGATCATCGGCTACTGTGTTGAAGGTGCATCTAAGGAAGGACAGACAGATCAGAGAACCAGTTAGGAGGTTGTAGAGTGGACCAAACCAGAACAAATAAAGGCCTGGACTAGGATGGTGATAGATTTATAGAAGATTGAATCAATTAAAAAACAATTCACATGGTATATTTAAACAGATTTAAGGATTGTGAGAAAGAAGGCAGCAGGACTGTCTCCTCGGTTTCTAGAGGGTGGCAGGGGGGATGGTGGTGCCCCTCACTGGAGAAAGGAGACCAACCACAGAAGAGAAAGAAGGGGAAGGAGACCATGGGTCATCTAGATGATACCCAGCAGGCACTGGCTCTGCAGGTCTGATTCTCAGGGAAGTGGACTAAATCAAAGATAAATATTTGGGAGTCATCAGCATCTAGATGGTAGTTGAAACTGTAGGGTGAATGACAGCCACTTTCCAGGAGCATTATTGTAGAATGAAAAGAACAATTGACCAAAGATAAGGCCAACAAGGTTCAGGAAGAGGATCCCAGAAAGAGACAAAGGAGTAACCAAATGTGAGGAAAATCAAAATTTGATATGACAGTGGCCAGGATAACAGAGTATTTTAAAAATAGCACAGCCATGCAAAGGTTTGGTAAAGCAAGGATTCCCCCCGCCCCCGCAATGTGGAGATTAGAGGGCAGCTGACAGCCTTAGCAAGAGCAGCTTTGATGGTGGTGGAAGGCGATGAGGACAGGTTGCATGGCGGACTATTAGGAAGGGTTTAGGGACCTTCAAAAGAAGGTCTTCAAGAGCAGGAGTGCATTGGGTGAGTCTATCAGCAGACAAGTTGAGCCTTCCAAGAAGAAGAGATACAGGAAAGAGGAGAGAATAAGGTGAATGTGGTGGGAAGAGTTAGGGGTCAAGGGTACAGACAGAAAGATGGGTCAGTCTTAAGCATTGTCCTCTGAGACTGGAGGGAAGATTGACGGTGGCCACAAGGGCATAGAGAGGGGGCTGAGGAGGAGAGGGCTTAGGGGTGCCCCCAGAGTGGACTGGTCAAGAGAAGAGGGAGGAAATGGCGTGAGGAGAAGGGAATGGCCTGCAGGAAATACCAAAGGCCCAGCTGTGCTTGGACACTAGTTTGCCAGTTTGCAAGAGAGGTGATTTTCCTCTATGGTTCTTAGAAACCTAGAAAAGCCTGAGACTTAAAGTTTTCTGTTGAGCTAGGAGGGCCAGAGGGCTGGGTTGAGGGAGTATGCGAAGGAATGATAGCAATGGAGGGACCGTTGTTTAGGTTAGCAGCACCGGATTTGGGCCGGGCAGGGAAGAAGCACAGCTGGGACAAGGCTGAAGGATGGGGGAGTTTGTAAGTCTGATGTGCTAAATCTCCCAGTGAGGTGATGGGTTTAGCGGACTTACGTCCAGGACAGTTGCAGAGATGGAAGGTTGGGATCAGAGAAAGGGATGTTTGAATTTCTGAAGTGGGTCTGTTCCAAGTGATGGCAAGACGCAGACAGTGGCCTTAGCAGGAGGTATTTGAAGTAGAGTCGAGGAGGATCCCTGGGTGGCTCAGGGGTTAAGCGCCTGCCTTTGGCCTAGGGCGTGATCCTGGAGTCCTGGGATGGAGTCCCACATCGGGCTCCCTGCATTGAGCCTGCCTCTCTCTCTGCCTGTGTCTCTGCCTCTCTCTCTCTCTCTCTCTCTCTCTCTCTCTCTCTCTCTGTGTGTGTGTGTGTGTGTGTCTCATGAATAAATAAAATCTTTTAAAAAAAATGAAGTAGAGTCAAGGTGAAAGTCACTGGAGGCACAGTGGCTTAATGGTGCGTGCCTCTGAAGATGATGATAGGACCTGGCTGGAGCACGAGGGAGTGACCAGTGTAGCAAACAGTCTTCATTTAGCAAGGGATAGAAGCCAGGGGTCTGCAGGCAGCAGTGATGAGGAAGAGCAGATGGCTGGGGACATATCTGGCCTCTGAAGAACATGAACTTTCCTAGGAGAACGGCCTAAAAGCAGCTGTGGAGAGACAGGAGAATGCCACCTCCACACCCCCGCTGTGACCTCCTGCAGCCCCAGCTGTGGAACAGGGGGAAGATTCCATTGACAAGGCCTGCAGAGGAGAGAAGTGGCCTCAGGAGAGAGAGTTTTCAGGGAGACTGAGCAGGAGGAGGGTGGGAAGAGGCTGGGACACCCCCTAGCCCTCACCCCACAAGGCAACGTGGGGAGCTCCGCAGTCCCTGCCTTGAGTCTGAGGGATGTCCACTCCCCTCTCAGGCCCCTACATTCCTCTCATGCACAGCAGACGTGCTGATAGTGGCCTGGTGTTTTCACGATGGAAGCAGGGATATGGGGTCCCTCAGGAAGCTTAATCGTTGCCCAGGTGTGAGGATTACTGTCCGTGTTCTACCTCCCAGGACCCTCTCTGTTAGCCGTGCTTCTTGACTGCTGCCCTGTGCAGCACTGGCCTCAGAGGCCACTGTTGTCTCCAGGACACCTCCACTCCCCCTGTGGGATGCCTGAGTCTGCTGACCAGGTTATGGTCTACATCTCTTCTGACCTCGAAGAACCTCATAAGGCTATGAAGGATTCCATGTTTGGCACTAGGATTTTTTCCCTCAAAGTATTCGGCTGTTGAGTCTGTCCCTCTTATTTCACTAATGGAGAATGAGTAGGCATCAGTTTGTTAGTCTGGTGTCCTGCCTTAGATGCACCTCACCTGCCTTAGTCATTCTCAGACGCAGACTCCCTATCTTCCTTGAGGGGCAGCCGTACTCACTGGGCAGCGGGGGAGAGGCCCGCTATAGTCTGTGTGTAGAAATAGGAATGGGAAAAGACAGATTCAGGGCACCAACCTGCCTTCTTCCTAGCCGTGTGGTCTTGGGAAAGTCACTTCCCTTCTCTGGGCCTCCGTTCCCCTATCTCCAAACTGATGATGATGCTACTTCCTTCAAGGGCTGTTTTAAGGGGCAAACAAGCTGACAGTGGGGGCGAGGGTTCCTTGGTGATGTTCACATTCAGACCCTGCTTCCCCACCGGCACCACCACCACCTGGGGCATGCCACAGCCATGTCTCGCTGGGACCGTGACAGCAGCGTACCGGTCTCCACTCTACCCTTGCCCAAAGTCTAAGCCTGTTATCTGCATGGACTCTGAGAGTGATTCTTTCCGTTGTGAGCTGATTCAAGTCACTCTGCTCAGAGCCGACCTACTTGATAGAAAAGCCAGTGGCTTCTCAGTGGTTTACAAGGTCCTCTGTTACCTGCACCCCCAGGCCCCCCACCCTGTCACACACACTGCCTCTCAGATGTTATCCCCTACCCCTTTCTCTTCATTCACTCTACTCCTGGCTCCACCTTACACGTACCAGTCACTCTTCTGCCTCAGGGTGTTGCTCAGGTATCATCATTTCAGAGATGTCTCTCCAAACCTGCTGCCTGCCCTCCTGGAGCGTGTATTCCAACAGAAGAAGGCTGACAGACAAATTCATAATATATAATAGTATAGTATATGTGACTGTGGAGCGTGTGTTTATTTCTGGCCCCCAGGGGCTGAGGAATTGGCTGAGATGGTCCAAGGACACACCCAAGATGTATCTTCTCTCTGCTGTCCGTGACCTCTAGCTGGTTTCTCTGTTAGCGTCACGGTGGACTGTGAGGGCAGGCCAGGAGAAGTGGCTGGCTCACAGAGCCCTCCAGCTTCCTGCCGACCACCAGCTCTGAAGGCCGTTGGAGTCTCTGTGGCTGTAACACCCTACTTGCTCCAGCACACCTCTCCCCTGGCCAGTGCCCAGCTAGAAGTCTAAGATAGAACATGCTGGAGTCTCTTCCCCAGGGAGCAGGCCAAGCCAAGTGTGCTTCAACTTTTAGACCTGGGACCCAGAGTGAAGGGAAATGGAGGAGATTTTTAGCCTTTGTAAGAGATAGGTGAAGAGTGCACCCTTCTGCTTTCCTAGCTGTGTTTCAGCCCACCTCTCAGCTGTGTGCCGCATCTCCTGGGTGGTGAGGATACAGACATGAGCAGGGCAAGGTCCCTGCCTCAACGCCGACGTCGTCTGGTGGGGGAGACAAAAATACACAAGTAACTATTATGTGCGGTCATTCATTGATTGAACAAACCTGTTTGAACATCTGCCACGGCAGACCAGGCATCTTTCACGGTTGGGGACCGTGAAGGAAGACCCTGCTCCCCCGTGTGTCTCCCCTACTCCTAGTACTCTACTCAGCAGGACCTCACCCTTGACACCAGATGCGGGGGTTCTCCACACACCAAGCGATTGTGCCACTCCACCTGGGAGAGTGTCCCATCCCACGGGGTAAGGGTTCCATCACACAAGCCTGCCCCCCCCCCCCAAGCCACACAGCACTCCAGGTTGTCACCTGTGCTTCTGACTGGCTGTAAATCAAGGGTTCCCACGATCTCCTCCTCGGGTTCACTCAGGAACACCGTTCCTTACTTAGGTGACCAGCTTTTTATGAAAGGATATGGAAGAGCTGCCCAGGGCAAGGCTTGAAGGGGGGGCACGGACCTCCACGCCCCGCCCCACCCCGCCCCGCCCCGGGTGCTGCTCTCCCCACACCTCCATGTGCTCACCAGCCCAGGTGCTCTCGAACCCTGTCCTTTTGGTTTTTTATGGAACCTTCATTACACAGGCACAATTGATGAAGTCATTGGCAATACTTCTTCCCAGGAAGGTCGGCAACCAGCCCCCATCCTCAGGGGCTTTCCAGAAGTGAGCTCATGAACATAGGTGCGACTGAAAGGGGCTTATTACACATAGTAAAAGACCACATCTTTATTTCTCTTACCATTTAGGAAATGCCAAGAATTTTAGGGTTCTGTGCCAGAAACAGGACAAAGACCACATGTGTATGTTTCTTATTAAAAATCACGGTATCGGGTAGCCCGGGTGGCTCAGCGGTTTAGCGCTGCCTTCAGCCCAGGGTGTGATCCTGGAGGCCCAGGATCGAGTCCCACGTCGGGCTCCCTGCATGGAGCCTGCTTCTCCCTCTGCCTGTGTCTCTGCCTCTCTCTCTCTCTCTTTCTCTCTCTCTGTCTGTCATGAATAAATAAAATCTTTTTTAAAAAAAAGTGTATTTAAAAAAATCACAGTATCACCAGGAAATAGGGCAGAAAATAGACTACAGACAATAAACATAAATACATGAATTATTCTAGGTCGTGATACGTGCTGGGAAAACAGAAGAGTAGAGTAGTTGGATTGAGAATGGCTCTGGGGGGAATGGAGTACTTTTACTAGGAGGTCAGTGACGATCTCTGAGGAATTGGTATTTGAGATAAATATTGAGAAGGAATCAGATATGCAAAGTCCTAGGAAAAGAACATTGCAGACAGAGGAAATTAAAGGTCAAAGAATAAAAGCATAGCCTATTCAAGAAGCAGGAAGAAAGCCAGTGTGTCTGGAGTGTGGAAAGGAAGGGGTGGGAGTAGGGGGTTGAGATGCGGTCAGAGGTAGAAAGGGCCAGATGATGGGGTTCCTTCGAGACCATGCATGCGGTAAGGAGTTCAGATTTCAGAGAGCCCAGATCCCATCAGGGAAAGGAGAGGATCTGTACTTGAGCCAAGACTGATACAGAAGCTCTGAGCAGAGCACTACGCTAACGAGGTTCCTCGCAGCCCAGGCAAAGCTGTCTTCCTTCTCTGTGCATCATCAGGCTGTGACGAGGTTAGCTACTCTCCAGGCCTTGGAGGAGGCACAGGGTATTAGCCACCATTTTTTTTCTCCCTAGATCCCAAGGATTTGGCTTTAACCTTCCCCATCTCCCAAAGTCTCCCCAGAAATGGTCTCCAGAGCCAGGACAAAAGCAGCCTTCCCCACCAGGCCCCCACTGAACCCAAGTCATCCCCTTACTCACTGTTACCAGACTCAGGTCTAGGCTGAACCACAACCTTAATGTAAAATTCCTTCTGACCCTTTCCAAAATCAGATCTAAAAGAACAAAGAGTTGACTGAAGAAGAGTCTCAGAGCTTCATCCCTTTGCAGAAAAACCCTTCCCTCCCTCGGTCACCTCCAGTTCCTCTGCTCTGGCACTGCCACGAGCCTGACCCACAGGGCCCTTGGGACACACCACGGAGAGTGGTGGGGCGTTACAAACCAGTCCCCACCCGTTATGGCAGGTTCCCTCCTGTCCTGCAGGGTCGGACCGATACCTGGAAAGCCGGGACACCTCTCGACTGAGTGGCCGGGACCCCTCCTCATGGACAGTGGAGGACGTGATGCAGTTTGTCCGGGAAGCTGATCCTCAGCTTGGACCTCACGCTGACCTTTTTCGCAAACATGTAGGTACCCCTGCCCGACCAGTCCCGTGTCCACCGGGAGCCTTGCTTCCGCAACTTGTAGATGCTTAAAGCTTCCATGAAACTGAGCACAGGAGACCCCCGATGAAAAGAGAGCCAGAATCTTGGGTCTCAAGCATCCCTGGTTGGGCGCCGAGTCCAGCCTGTGCCTGTAGTGTCAGATTCCTGCTGGCTGCATGGCCAGGGGCCTCAGGGCCAGGGCAAGGACTCTCCTCTTTTCCTAGGAGTGCTTGCTCGCACATCTGCCTGCCATGGCCTGAGAACCAGGGGCCTCGGCCCAACTTAGAGATCCTGCCACATGGCTCCCACTGTCTGACCTCCTCAGCCCCCATCCTGTCCTTGCTCTTCTGTGAGCCTGCAGCATCTCTTCTGTGACTATTTGGCTGTGCAGCCAGGTACTGCTGCGGACCCGCCAGCAGCGACCATACTCCTGATCTGGGGTGCAAACCCCTTTCCCCTCAGCCCCCACTGCTTGGTGCTGCTCTGCCCTTTGGGCGCTCAGAACAGATGTGCTACCTCCCATGAATCATTTCACTTTTCTGTGCTGGTGGGTTTGGGGGTACCCTTGGGTCAAGCCTGAAAGTCTCACAGCTGCTCAGTAAGGGCCTGCTCTGGGCCTAGCTCACACAGAGGGGTCCCTGCCCCCCAGGAAGAAGGTGGCTCCCAGAGGAACAGTCTGGGAGAGGGGCTCCAGCACAGGACTGGGGGGATGGGGACTCCCAGGAACTGGAACATAGAGGTCAGCCTGTCAGTCAGCCATCAGCGGTCACCCGTCAGCCGCTGGGAGGGCGGGGACACTGCCTCAGGCTGCAGCAGGGCAGTAAAGCTGTGAGGAGCACCCACTGGGCTCGGGAGGAGTGGCGGGGGGGGGGGCGGCTGACTCACTGGGCCCCGTGGGCCTGGCACCTCCCAGGGGATCAAGCCACCAAGCCTCTGATGGCACGTTCCCCCCCGCAGGAGATCGACGGCAAGGCCCTGCTCCTGCTGCGCAGCGACATGATGATGAAGTACATGGGGCTGAAGCTGGGGCCAGCGCTCAAGCTCTCCTTCCACATTGACCGGCTCAAGCAGGGCAAGTTCTGAACTGGGAGACGCAGCCTAGACCACCGAGGGGTCACCAAGAACGGGCCAGCACTCTTCTCCCCGGAAGGGGGGCCAGCAGCCCACTGCCGGCGCCTCAGTGGAGTTCAGGGCCGCCTCAGGACTCCGGAGGCTGTGCGGAACCACCACCGCTCCCCCTCCTGCCATGATATGTCCTTCCATGAAGGACCAAGAGGAGAGTGTGGGCCCAGGGCTGGCGCTTCTCTTCCCCTCAGCCCTGCCTCAGCTCTGAGGTCCCTCTGTATTTATTTCTCAAGCCTGGTTGGCTTCTCACAGGGCGTTTAGACTGAACACCTTCCAGTGATGAAGGGGCAGACCCCTGAGGCCTCAGTGGATGGGGCCCTCGACTGACACCTGGGCCCCATCCACCTGCTGGGCCTGGCGTGGCACCCCATTGCCCCGCAGCTCCCACCACCACCTCATGAGAGCCCCAGACTCCAAAATCATGGTGCAGACCTCTACCTTTTTTTAAAAAAGATCTTTTCTTCTTGTTTAAATGTATTGTTTCTGGCACTTGGGCAAGCCCTCCAGCTCATACTCCTCTCACTCCCAACACTGGGCTTCAGGAGAAGGGAGACTGCCTGGCCCTGGTCCCCAAGAGACATGGGCCCTCTTCAGAGGCCATCAGGGCCATCCCCCGAGGGCATGTTGTCTGTAGGATGGACAGATCCTTCAGGCCTTGACCATATCAGCGGGGGGAGGAGAGGGTCCCTGTCACCTTTCCCTCTTCTGCCCCTGGGCCCTTTAGCCCTGGACCTCCACTGTGGGAATGGGAGTCCCCTGCCCCATAGCTCCTTGCCCTGGCCAAAACTACTGCCGAAGGAGGTTAGGCCCCATGATTTTAGGTCACAAAGGCCGTAAGGTGGATGGAAGGGAAGGGTCTGCAGGCTGGAGTCTAGTTGTACCCTCTCCGTCATCCAGATGCTTCCTTTATAAGCAAGTCAGCAGCACAGCTGCCCCTGCTGCCATCCAGACTTCTTTTATGTCAATCTGTTTATAAATAAAAACCAATATAGATGCCAGTGTGGTTTTAATCAGTCGACAGAGCACTGCACTTCCAATGGCAGAGCACTCCCCTCTCTTGCCCTAGTTTCCTCATTCTTAAAGGAGGTGTGTGGACAAGGTGATCCCCAAGAGTCCTTCTGATTCCAGCAGTCCCCAGAAGCAGACTGTCTGCCCGATGCCTACTGGGAAGGCCATGTGGAGCTCGTTCCTGCCCTCAGAGGGCTGCGCTCTGGTGCAGCAAGACAGTGGGGAGCACAGAAGCCACACGAAGTCCAAGCAGGAAGAACAGTATTAAAAAGAAAAAAAAAGGGGAAAAAAAAGGAAGAACAGTATTTGGGTCAGCGGCTCTGAGAACCTCCGTGGCTGGGTTCACCTTGAGGTGAGATGCAGGCTCGCCCAGCTTGCATTGTACCCTTTGTGGCGACCTGGCGCCAGACACTCCAGGCCAGGGCCACATGGCCTCATTTCTATTGGGATCACCGGAGGTGGTATAGGGGCAGCGGCGCCATGCAGGAAAAACCGATAATAGCTGACACTCTTGTGTCACTGTGGGCCCATGAACTACTCCACAGGAATTAGAATTGGCCCATTAAATCTTCACAGCAAACCCATCTTCTGGATGAGGAAATGTAAGGTCAGGTCCCAGGAAGCACCAAAGCAGGTGTTTGAGCCAAGTACTCTGAAACCAAGGCCAAGGTTGAAGTTCTAGTGAGTGTGTTTATTGTAAGGCTTTGGCTGGGTCATTTCCCTTTGTTGGGCCCACGTGGCCATGAGGGCTTCAGATGATGGCCCTGCCAATTCTCGCCATGGCTGGCGCCAACATGGGAAGTAATTTATAATGTCTTTTACACTTGGCCCCTGTGAGTTCTCACCATGGTCGTGCGGTCTGGGTCCGGGCTCCCGAACCAGAGCAGGACCGTCTTCTCCACAGGCTCCTGGACATGGGGTGTGGTAGGCGTGCCGTCCATCCAGAGACAGCCTTACTGACCCCTGACAATGAACTTCTGGGTGTGATCCTTCCCCAAGAGACAGACGCAGGGACTGGAGGTAGCGCCAAGCACGTGGAGGCAGGCCAGACACCCTGCAGGGCTGCCCTGGTAGAGCCGGCCAGCTCCTGCCTCTCCTGCCCGCTGGTCGCCAAGAGCATAGTGTACCAGCTTGCTCGTGCTGACTTACTCATGCACAGTCTTGTTTAAACCTCACCGTCACCCTGAGGGACTACCGTGCCCGCCCCCCCCCACACCCTTTGCAAGTGGGGAAGCTACAGCTTGGACAGCTACTTGACCCCAAACTCCACAGCTTATCAGGGGTGCCTGTCACACCCTCCCGGGCCGCCGTCCCAGATCCTGCTGACCAGTCAGACTCAGGGCTTCCACAGGCCACCTTGAAGGCTGTGAGATGGAAACTTCTGCCACCGCAGGACAGCATGGAGCAGTCCTGTTTGGGGTAGTCCCTGCAGAGCCCACCATCATCCAGGTGACAGCTCAGGTGCAAGGGGAGCAGCGGGGTTCACCTTGGCCTAGCAGCATCACGCCCCGAGGGACCGTAACTCCCTAGTTTGTAGGCATAACAACTCTGGAGGCATCGCTTCTGGGTCCCTGCGAGGCCCCGGCCCACTGAGCCTCTGCATAGGGAGGCCCAGGGCCGTGGCTTTGAAGCCAGCATCCCCATCCAGGTGATTTACAGAGAGGGTTCACTCTTACCGTAAGCAACGTCGCCTTGAAGCGGTTGGCATCCCACTTCTACCTGGTTTCCAAGGGAACCGAACTAGAGAGGTAACCAAACGTCAGCTGCTGTAGGAGGGGAGAGGATCTGTTCCCCCTTCACTCTGCCCTCACCCCTGGGATCAGAATTGAATGTCTTCTAAGAAAAAAAACACTTTTGAAATGATCTCCTGAAGCCAAGCCTTCTAATAGTGACCCACAGTCATGCGGAGCGGCTGAAGTGGCCTCTGGCAGGCCCGTACCCACATGCTGCAGGGCAGGGGACACCACTCCGGCAACCCCACCAGTCCAGCCACCCACGAGACGGGAAGGCCTCTGGGACTGGGGGACAGAGGCCTCCTGACACCAGCTCCACGTGCCCCCCCCCACCATGACAAGGACAGGACGTTGGCTCCAGCGCTGAGGACCATCAGGAGAGGACAGTAGAGTCTAGGCACTGACTACTTAGGGAACCATCTGCACCGCTCCCTGCCGCTGGCCACGCCATCCCGGTCACCGCTGCAGTCAGGCTGGAGCCTCCACAGCCCTTCTCGTTGGCACCTTCATGAAACCACCCAAGATCTCCATGGGCTTGCAGCTGTGGCGGTGCGCGTGGACCCCTCCTCGGAAGAGCTGGAAGGTGGCTCCCCCCTCCTCCCTGCAACCAAAGCTGAAAACTTAGAGAACCTTCTTGCCTTGGAGAGCCCAGACCCCCCCTCCCTCCATTGCCCTCAGCTTTGTGCAACCTCCTTACCCTAATACCCCAGGTCACCCCAGTCATCAGGAAGCTCCACAGCTGGAAACCAGTCCAGGCACCACGGCAGCCAAGCGTCATTAACTGCATTAATTAATGCCCGGCCTGTGACACCACAGCCACTGCAGGTGCTTCAGGAGCCCACAGGTGACAAGTCCCAGGGTGAAGACACTGGACCCAAGGCTCCTGTGGGAGGCTGGGGCTGGGCCCTGTGGGACATGGGTGGGAATCCACAGGCAGGTGCCCATACGCAACGGGAGGGCTCAAGACAGGCCGGAGTGCCGGGGCCCAGATGGCCAAGGCCTGTGTCCACACCACCTCTCCCCTGAGGTCCAGTTTGCTCTCCTGGCCTCTCCCACCCAATGGCCGAGCTCAGGTGCCATCGCTGTCCCTGCCCCTTCACGCACCCATCCTTGTGCTTTCGGGGATCACGACCACGTGGGGCCACCAAGTGGACACTCCCCAGGTAGCATGAAGACAGCCGTATCCACAGCTGCCTTCTCCCTCAGCTTTGGGTCCACTTACGGTCTGAACTTTAAATTCAAGAGTTGTTTCCCTCTAGGTGCCAAGTAGAGAGTGTCAGGAAGGTCATAGCCCTCCAGTGAGGGGACGCGGGGCTGCTCGTCCTGGAAAACCGAGCCCATGTCGGCCACTGCAGTTAGGAAGCGGATGCTGCAAATAACCCGGTTACACTGCAGTACACTCCAGCGTCTGAAATCCTATTTCCTACATGTATTCAGTGCTGACGGTGACCGTTTCGCGCCCTCCCCACGCAAGGACGTGGAACGGACGTTTTCTCACGTAAGGTGAGGAGAGATCACGGGAAACACGCGATCCAGTGTTCGAAGGGACCCCAGTAAGCACGGGGGCTGTTCGGGGACTCGGGGGTGCAGACCTCGCACAGAAGGCGGCCTGTCCGCGGGCCTTGGGACAAGCGTCACGCTGCGCAGTCGCGCCCCCGGCCTGGCCTGCCAGGTCCCTGCGGCAGCGCAGCCCCAGGGCCTCCCTCCCGGGCAGCAGAGCCAGGCCACGCGGTCCCCACCTGAGTGGCTCGGGATGGCCCGCAGGACGGGGCAGGGCAAGCCGCGGCCCTCGCCCCCATGCCCCGGCACCTCACACCGCCTCCCCCGCCAAGCTTCTCCTCCATCCTGAGGGGAAACAAGATGCCCTTAGCTTCTTCAGGATGGCTGCGCGGAGAGGGGGTGCCCCCACGGCCCCACAGGCTCCCCGACCGAAGCCTCTGCCGCCCACTCAGGGCTTCCGGAAGCTGCGTGGACTGGGCTACCCACATCTGCACAGCGGAAGCATTTACCGCCCCGCCCCCACCCCCGGCTGCACTAACAGAGGCATGTATCCCCCATGTCTCGGGCCCCGTCGAGCAGCAGGTGACAAGCCTGTCCTTGACAGGGAATAGCAATTCTTGACCTATTTCTCGGGGCGCTTCTGGCCACCAGCCTCCACCCGGGGCAGGGAGAAGGACCTGGAACCAACCGTGCGCGTTGCTTCATCTTGGTAGTAGCTGGGCCATCTGCGCTCGTGAAGCCTGGGACTGGGGACTAAAGGGGAAGGTGGGGGGACCTGTGGCCCCCAGCCCTGAGGTGGCCAGGAAGGGGCATTGTTGACTCCTGTGAGATCACAGGCAGTGCCCGGCCCCGCCCACTTCCCCCCAGCTTCCCTCTGGCTGCCCCGCCAAGCCCCCAAGGGTCCCCAGGAGCTGCTGGCTGGGGGTCAGGGGTCTGTGGGAGCTGAGGGCTGGCACCTCCCACGCTCCCCCAGGAACATCAGGACATGAGGGTCATGTCCTTTCCTCCTGTTCCTGTTGGTACTGAACGCCCCCACCCCAGCTGCACTGCTCCCCCGGCCCTGACTGTCCCAAGGATCCACTCTGGAAAGATGCAGGCCGGTGGCACCCGCCACACAGAGCAGAGGCCAGGCGTGTGGGGGTGAGTGGAGGTGCTGCTGTGGGCCACACAGGGCACAGCTCAGGAGTGAGGCCCCTGGCCCAGTGGGAGGGGCGTACTTCAGGGCCCTGGCTCTGCCCCCCCTCACTTCTGCTCTCTGGACCAAGATCGGAGGCCTCTGTCTAGACCAGGAGCTCTTAAGAAGGGCCACAGCCGCCTCAAATTAGCTGTGTATGGGTGGAGGCCGTTTTTCTGGGGAGGGGCCACAGCTTTCCTCAGTCAGTGTGCCTGAAGCAGAAAGATGTCTGCTCTAAAACCCCCTGGTTCACACCAGGTTCACATGAGACTCGCACCAGGTTCACACCAGGTTCACACCGGGCTCATACCAGGCTCACACCAGGTTCACACCAGGTTCAGCCAAGGCTCACCAGGTTCAGATGAGACTCACACCAGGGTCACACCACGTTCAGATGAGGCTCACACCAGGTTCACACCAGGTTCACACTAGGTTTACAGCAGGCTCACACCAGGTTCACGAGGTTCACACCAGGTTCAGACCAGGCGAGGGCAAGCAGCACTGCAGCCGTTGCCAGTCCTCAGACCCCTGGGTGGCGGCTGCTTCTCCAAGGTCCCCTTAAAAAGGTTTCCCTGAGGTCTGGAGGCAGCAGGAATCTCTGGTAGCCAGGGAATCCCAAGCGTTTCCTCCAGCCTGTGGACTGGGGGGATAAGACAGGACACCTGGGGCCCGTGAAGGGGCGCGGCGGGGCCCTGAGACCTGAGCTCTGGGCCGCTTGCCCTCTGGGGGGCACATCGCCTCCGTCTTCCCCTCTGTGGGATGGAGGGGCAGGCCCACGCGCTCTGTTGTCCGCCTCAGCCCTGGCTCCCCTCTCCTCTCCTGCTCCTCGGCGGGGCGCAGGCCCCTTTCGGCTGGCCCTCCACCCTCACCCCTCTGCTCCTGCCCAGCCAGCCCTGCCCATCTGTGAACCTCCCAGGAGTGTCAGTGCCCCCTGAGCCCCCTGGGCGGTCCTGGGAGGAACAGGCGGCAGTGAGGAGTCCCAGAAGCCCTTCTGAGAGAGACCTCTCCAGAGACCCCCAGGAAGAGATCGCCGCAAACAGCGGCAGGAGCCCCTCATGGAGCCCCCAGGCGAGCAGCCACTGCAAGAGCCCCCGGGGGACAAGTCCCTGCCCGAGGACTCGGGCCTCAAGACCACACCCGGCACGCACATTCTCTACGTGGGCCACCTGAACCCCCAGTTCTCCGTGCCCGTGCTCACCTGCCTGCTGCGAGACACCCTGGAGCGGCTGGAGCTGCGGGTGCCACGGGAGCACATCGAGGTGGTGAGGCGACCCCGCAGGGCCTACGCGCTGGTGCAGGTGTCGGCTCCTGAGGACACCCTGGCCTCCCTCCCCCGGCTCCTGCAAACAGCCTGGGAGGAGCAGCAGATTCCCAAGGAGCTGGCGGCCCGTGGGAAGGAGCTGGTGCTGGGGGAGGGCCAGGGGCCCCCAAACTGCAGGGAGGTAAGTGCGGCCTGCGAACCCCAGAGCCTCGCCCCGGGGGAGGGGCGAGGGCGGGGGGAGGGTACAGGTGTGTCTTTGAGGAGCCAGGGTAGGATGTGCTACCCCGATGACCACAGCCTGCGGCTGGCGCTGCACGCTGCCCCCTCAGCACAGGGCGGTCGTTGGCTGCAGCCTGGAAGCTCCAGCCTGGAAGAGGGGCCGCACGGGGCCTCCCTGGGCCCCCGTCCATCCTCCCTGGGCCCCCTGTCCATCCTCCCCGGGCCCCCTGTCCATCGTCCCCGAGTCCCTGTCCATCGTCCCCAGGGCCTCCTGTCCATCCCCCCCGGGCCCCCTGTCCATCCTCTCTGGGTCCCTGTCCATCCTCCCTGGAACCCCCGTCCATCCTCCTGGCCCCCCTGGCCATCCTGCCTGAGCCCCCTGTCCATCCTCTCCAGGCCCCCTGTCCATCCTCCCCGGGCACCCTGTCCATCCTCCCTGGCCCCCCGTCCATCCTCCCCGGGTCCCCCCTCTCCATCCTCCCTGGGCCCCCTGTCCATCCTCCCTGGGCCAGCCCAGGCCCTAGGGTATGCACTGTCCACTCGGGGGCAGGATCTGTGCTGGCTGCGGTGGGCAGGAGAGCGTGGGGTGCTCGGCCCTGCCCTCAAGGAGCCCCCAGCTCGGAGCAGAGCCATACCCAGCGAGTCACAAAGCTGCGGGCGTCACAGAGCTGTAGGGACAGATGCGCAGGACCGAGGCCCCAGTGGGGACTAGGGAGTGGAAGGACGTCCTAGGCGGGGGGACCGTTCCGCGTGCATAAGGACAAGCCGTCTGGCGCCTCCGGAGCTCAGGCTGAAGGAGAGCTGGGCCAGGGGGCAGGGGCCAGGCCCCAGGGGCTGCAGGGGGGCCTCTACAGGGGTGGGAGCGGCCACGCCAGGGCACTTGGCTTTCCTTTTCTTTTGGGATGAAAACTCTGTGTTTAGATTGTTGCAGAGCCGAACAGCTCTGTGGCTGGCACTTGAAGGCGCGTGCGCACGTGTGCGGGACAGTTTCCTCAGGTTTCTGATAAGCCGTCTTCTCGGGGGGTTGCGGGGCGGGTGGGGGCGTGCCCCTTGCCACCAAGCCCCCCACACACACTGGCTGGAGACTGGAGGCCACCAGGAGCCAGGGACAGCAGCAGAGAACCCCGTTAGGGAGGACGGAGAGTCCCCCTGCATCCCAGGGTCAGTGATGAGGGTGGATGGGGGGTGGAGCCTGGAGGGAGGGAGGCAGGGAGGCCGCGAGGAGGCCCAGGCCAGGCCAGCGGAACAGAGCAGAAACGGTAGATGCGGCCTCAGGGGCCCGGAGGAGGCTGGAGATTCGGGGGGGGGGGGCGGGGGGGGGGCGGACTGGTCCGTGGTCCGGAAAGCAAGAGGCAGGCATCCCAGGGAGACCAGGAGGGGGCGGGCTTCTGGGAGCCCCCTCACTCGCTGTCGCAGGGCCTCGGGATCTGTACCCTAGTAGGAAGGCACTGGCCACAGGAGTTGCAGTGCCAACCGCAGGCGGGGGAGCCCGTCGGACCCGCCACGCACCCCGAGGCCCAGCAGGAAGGAGCAGGGGCGGCTCAGAGCTGGACCCCGCAGGTTCCGCGCCCCGGCGAGCGGCCAGGCTCGGGGCTGCTGACTCCCAGCTCACCCCCCGCCCCCCGCAGGAGGAGGACAGCGGCCCGAGCCCCTGCCCCAGCCCCCCCAGCAGCACCCTGGGGCGGGCCCTGCGGGGGTCCCGGGGCCAGGCGGGGGGCACGCGCTCTGACAGCGCCATCGCGCACCAAGAGATACTGGGCCAGGAGCGCCTCTTCCAGGGCGCCTTCCTGGGCAGCGAGACGCGCAGCGTGGAGTTCAAGCGCGGCGGCGGTGAGTACCTGAGCCTGGCCTTCAAGCACCACCTGCGGCGCTACGCGTGCGCCTTCCTCAACAGCGGGGGCGGCAGCCTGTTGGTGGGCGTCGAGGACAGCGGCCTGGTGCAGGGCGTGCGCTGCGGCCACCGCGACGAGGACCGCGTGCGCCTGCTGGTGGACTCGGTCCTGCAGGGCTTCCGGCCCCAGGTCTTCCCCGACGCCTACACGCTCTCCTTCATCCCCGTGGTCAGCACCTCGGCCGCCAGCACGCCCCTCAAGGTGGGCTCCCCGGAAAGGGTCCAGGTCCGTCCGGCCTCAACCCTCCTGGGCTGGGCAGGGGTGGGGCCGTGACCCGAGGAGGGCCCCGAAGCCCCCCGCCCCCCCAGGTGGCCCCAGGCGCCCCGAGGAGCCTGCCAGAGCCGCTGTCGCCCCCCCAAGGTGATCCGCCTGAGTGTGCACGGCCCCCGGGCCCCGGCACAGCCGCAGCTCTACGAGACCGACCAGGGTGAGGTGTTCCTGCGGCGGGACGGGAGCATCCAGGGTCCGCTGTCCGTCCACGCCATCCAGGAGTGGTGCCAGCAGGTGCGCTCCCGGGAGGGCCAGCGGGTTCCCCGGCCCCGGCACGGCCCCCCGCCCCCAGAGGCTGAGCGCAGTGACCGCCGCCCCCGTGTGCGCACTCGTGGGCTGGGCCAGCCAGGGGAGGGGGCATGGCGAGCAGTTTTAGGAGCACCCGAAGACTGTACTGCGTTTGGGGGAGGCCCTTACGACGGGAGGGAGTCAGCGCTGGACTCGGTCCCACGTCAGGCGCAGGAAAGCAGAGAGGGACAAGGGGCTGATGGCCAGAGGGGGGCACGCGGCCGCGGAACTGGGAGGCGCCAGAGGCTGGGTGGGCCGGGGTCTGGGATGCTGGCGGGAGTCGGGTCAGGCGGCTTCCCTCCAGACCCAGGCCTGACTTGTCAGGGGTGCGGCACAGCAGGGACCAGCTCCCGCCTCAAGGGGACGGCGTGCCTCCCAGTGGCCTCCGGGAATCACCCTCCCACCCTGGGCCCCCTGGCTCTTCCCCTCCATCGGTTCAACCCCCACCCGGGGCCCCTGGGTCTCTACCCCCTCCATCGGTTCAAGGCCAGGTGGAGGGGGCGCCCCCAGGCGGCCCCGCCGTGGACTCTGTCTCTGTGGCGCCCGCAGAAGTGGGCGGCCGAGCTGGGCAACCTGGAGCAGAGGCTGAAGGTGCTGATGGCGGAGAAGGAGCAGCTCCAGCAGCAGCTGCAGCGGCGCCGGCCCATCTCCTGCACCTGCTGCGTCCTGTGAGGGTCCCTGCGGCGGGCGGGCGGAGGCCAGCTTCACCTGGAGGGGGCGCTCCTCCGACCGCCTCCCGCTGGTCGCCCGTGCGGGGGCCTCGAGCCCGAGCAGATCCGGGTCCGCAGAGCCGAGAAATGGCTCTTCGCACGAAACCCCAGCAACCGTGCTTCCAGAAAGCGCTGCTGAAAACGGCCGGAGCCACCCTGGGACCAAGCTCTAAGGACCGCCCTGCTTCCTCAGAGGCTCCTTTTGACCGGCCTGGGTCTCGGATGCAGGGGCGAGACGCACCAGAAGGAATGTATCACTGGGAAAGCCTGGGGAGGGCCCACTCGGGCACATGGCTCCGGGGCCAACAGGCCACTCTGCAGCCCCCACCGTGGCCTTTGCTGGAACCTGTGACCGTCACAGCCCTTTAATAAATTCCATGCACCTGGGGCGAGGATGGTTCTTTCTAGGACGCCCGGTGAGCTGCTGCGCGCAGCTGAGTGGGGAGTCCTGCGCCCGCCCCCATCCACGAGGCCCAGCCAGCGCGGGGCTCCTCCCGCCCAGAGCGTGGGGCCCGGGCAGGTGCGGCTTGGCCTTAGAGACGGGCCCTCAGCGGCCAAGTGCTCCCGCTGTTCAGTTTCTTCCTCTGTAAGACGGGAAATGGGCACGGGCAGGGGCCCATGGTCACCATCAGACTGACGCCCGTGTCTCTCCAGCACCACCAGCGCCTGCCAGGAGGGGTCTGACCTCCACGTCAGGCTCCCTCCAGCCCCGGGCGAGGATCCCCGCTCAGGCCACCCCCGTCAGGTCCGCACACAGAGCGGAGATGACCAGCGAACGTCAGGTGGCGTCAGGGCACAGGGCCCCGCAGGAGCCCCCGTTCCACCAGAGGCAAAGTCAGAACAGCGGGCCTGCAACTCCGCAGCCGGCCCTTCTGCCCTCGCCCCCTCCTGTCCCTCGCCCGCGTCACGGCCACACGGCCACCCCGTCCCCTGAACACACTTGCGGCAGGGCCTTCGACTGGCCGCCTCCCCCCCGGAGGGCCCCTCCCCACGCTGCAGGAGCCTGCTCACTCTGGGCTCAACTTCCCCCTGCCCTGCCCCACTGCGCCCCCCTTCCTGCTTCCAGGAGCCCCCCGAGCCCCCCTTCCTGCTTCCAGCCTCCTGCCGCAGCACCAGCCATCGCGCTCTGCAGCCTTTCCTCGCCCTCTCGCCCAGCGCAGGCTCCAGACCACAGGGAGCGGGGGCGTCGGGTCGCGGCTGCCGTCCAGAACCCACATCAGGCAGGTAGTAGGGGAAACACACAAGGATGCCCCTGGACTCGGGGTCTGAGCCACGGGGACATACGGAACCTGGTGGAACAGGGCACCGCCCGGGGCCCCGGAATGCACGGCTCCCCGTCCCGGGGCCGCGGGGCTGTGCAGCTGCCAGGGCCCGCGCCACGCTCCCACTGCTTCCCAGACATGCGGATAATGGACGTGTGTCCTGACTGGTCACCTACTGCCTCCTGTTCCTCAGCCCCTGGGCCCCAGGTCACCCCGGCCCAGGGCCTGAACAGGTCTGCAGAGGCTCCGTGAGGATGGCACAGAGGAGGTGCTGCTCGGGAAGCCAGAGGAGCAGGCGCGCCGGATCCAGGGCAGCTCTTCCGGGATGTGGGGCTCAGAACCGGCCCGACTCTGCCACCTTGGTGGGGGGGGGGGGCGGGGGGCAGGGCTGTTCAGGCCCCCAGGCCCGGGGAGCCAGTACCCGATGGCGGGTCAGCTGTGGCGCGCTCCGGCACGGGCAGGACATCGGCGCACCATGGGGCTCTGCAGACCACCCCATGCCCAGCCGAGGCCCCGCTGCTGCATGGAGCGCGGCTGTCGTCAGAGCCTCAGTGTGGGGAACGGCTCTCTCGGAAACCATCCCGACTGTGTGACGCAACCCCGGGGAAGCAGGGCTTAGACTTCACCCCATCAGTCGCGGCCGAGGCAGTCGAGGTACGAGGCCAGTGTGACAGGCTGGGACACTGGCTTGGGGCGGCGGTAATGGGGACAGAGGGGGCGCAGCTGCCCCTGCCAGGGGAGGGCAGACTCCAGCTCCGGGGCCCCAGCGGGGACAGGCGTCCAGGGAAGTCCGCTCCTCTGGACCACGGAGGAACTGCACCACACGGTAACAAAGAAACGGTTTTCTCCCCGACCCAGGAACCCGGCTTCTCTCCCGGCTGCAAGGAAAGGCAGTGCAGGCTGAGCCTCTGCCCCGCACACCGCGTTGCCGCCAGCACGTGGGCTCAGCAGCCAGAGATGGGTGGGCGGGTGCCAAGGTCACTGCACACGCAGGGAACGGACTCGGCCCGGGACGCACAAGGCCAGGACAGGAGGACCCGGGGCGGATAAAGCCGTCCTGCCGGCGTCGAGCCCTGGAGGAAGGAAAAGGCTCCTCTCGGTTTTTTTTTTTTTAATTTTTTTTTAATTTTTTTTTTTTTATTTTTTAATTTATGATAGTCACAGAGAGAGAGAGAGAGGCAGAGACACAGGCAGAGGGAGAAGCAGGCTCCATGCAGGGAGCCCGACGTGGGATTCGATCCTGGGTCTCCAGGATCGCGCCCTGGGCCAAAGGCAGGCGCCAAACCGCTGCGCCACCCAGGGATCCCCTCCTCTCGGTTTCTGAGCAAAGCTCGGCTCCCCCACTGAGGCTGCCCCACCAGAGGGCAGGCAGGTGCTGAGGGTCCGGGGCACACGGCCACGTCCCACGCCAGGAGCACAACACACGCAGTGGGTCCCGTTCTGCGTCATTTATTTCTTAAGTTAGAGAATACACGGAGTCTGGCTAGGGGTAGCGGGCACCGCAGTGCCTGTTGATGCACCGCGATAAGAAAATAGCTTTTGGATTGCGTTTCAGCTGCAGTAACACCGTTCTGGAAGCAAGAGCTCCCCTCAGGCAAAGCTGTCGGTACAGGAGAGGCTTCTAGAGGCAGTTTCCCCCAAAGATGCTTTGTTCTTTTTTTTTAAGCAACCCCTTGATGCAAGGAGTACGGCCCAGCCCCAGGAGGAGAGGCTCGGCCAGAGGACGGGGATTCGGAAACCACGCTGCAGACACCGAACGAACCGTCCCCACCGGCCACCGTGGGCGCCGAGGCCCCCGTCCTCTCACTGCTCCCGGGGGCGGCGCTGCCCTCCGGGTACCAGCACCGAGCGTCCCGAGCTGTCCCTCCGGGCACTGGGTCTGTGCGGCACCTCCTACGGTTCGGCCTCGGCCTTCCAGGGAAACCACGGCTACCCACGTGAATCCACGACGACGGGAGGTAGTTGGAGAAACGAGGTGACCAACGGGCGCTCCCCCAGCAGGGGCATCCTCCACTCCCACCCAGGGGCCGCCCTCCTCCTCCTCCTCCTCCTCCTCGGCCGAGTGCGGCGGGGCCCACGTGGGGTGTGGATGCCGGGCGCACGCTGTCCAGGGGCCAACACACAGGATGGGCCACGTGAGTCACAAAGTCTTCCAAATACCTTTGCCCCATAATAAAATAATCTTAATAAAAACATAATTTAAAGGAAGTGTCAAAAGCTGAGTGTAAAATCAAAGCTGTAAACTCTCAGAGTCCGAAGGCTCTCCCGAAGATCGCCCCTGTTTAAAACAAGAACAAAAAGAGCAGTTACGTGATGCACGTTCAGGTAGGAAAGGGAGTTTACAGTCAGCTGCTACCGCAAACCACGCCCGCCCCCGGTGAAAGCCAGTGGTGGGAGCCTAATATGAATAATTAGAAGCTAAATCTGTAATTCCTACACAATCACACATTTTCCAAATCTCACAAGACTCCTTCCTCCACCCGATGCCTGCACTCCTGTCCGCGCATCAGCGTCCTCACGGCCACCAGCATGGAGGCCCCCATGTGGCGACGCAGGAGGATCCAGGCTCCACTGACCATCCAGCCCCTGACAACGTTCGCTTTCTCTTTAGGGCGGTTTCTCCGACTCGCAGGCAGCAAACCGCTGGTGGGGAGACGGGGTGCATCTGTGCCAACACAACACGGCCCTCCTCCGGGCGAACCCACAGGCCGGGGGGCTCAGTGTCCAGGGCAGGAGGGCACAGGTGTGTGCCTGCGGGACCATGCACGCAGCCAGAGGCCCCGTGGTCAATGCGAGGTGTGCGGGGTCGGGAGGCCGCACGCCCGGGCCGCTTTGGTGGGAGCTTTCCCTGCCCGTGGTGGGACCCCCCCACATGGGCCCACACCACATCCCTGCTTCTCCTTTCAGACCCCACAGACCACTGACACCCCAACCCCCTCCCTCCACACCCACCAGGAGGTGCACTCACAGCAGGTGGCCAACAAGGTTGGCTCCACTGTCACAATACTTAGCATAATTTTAGGGCGGTGCCCACAGCTACCCCATGTCATAAGCATATGAACCCTGTCAACGTAAAGATCAATGTTCAAAGCATGCCTGGTGATTGTCCGGATCTTAGGGGATTTCCAGAATAAACAGCAACCAACATAAAAGTGTTGTGTGTTGTGTCAGTTTTTAAGCACTCCCTGACGGAAGCCTGAGTGGCTGCAAACGTGATCATTCTGTCTCCGTGGTCACCTCCCTCAAGACCTCTGAGTTCACGGCTACACAAGGTACCCAGGTCTGAGAACCCAGTTCCCCTGGGATTAGGTCACACCAGCACCTGAATGTAGCGGCGACAAGACCAGTGCCGGTGACTGGAGCCCCTGGGGACAGGTGCGCCGCCGCCCAGAGCGGCCTCGCCCACCTGATGCCCACACGGACCTTACCATCCACATCCTCCGGCAGGTAAAGCTCTCAACGCCAAACTTTCGTGGTATCTTTTTTTTCTTTCTTAAGATTTTACTTATTTATTCGAGAGAGAGAGAGAGAAAGAGAAAGAGAGAGAGAGAGAGGGCAGAGGGAGAAAGAAACAGGCTCCATGCAGAGAGCCGGATGTGGGACTCGATCCCGGGACTCCAGGATCACGCCCTGGGCCGAAGGCAGGTGCCAAACCGCTGAGCCACCCAGGGATCCCCCACTTTCGTGGTATCTTAACTCCAGCGTTACCACCATTAAAACCAATGCACGCAAATACTAGAGCTGAAGAACACCACTTACGTGACCATCAGTCGTGATTTATGGATGGGAACTTCAACTCAGTGATTTCAGAGTCCGGGGAGCTGCTGCCACTCCTGTCACTATAGGTGTCCCTGTGGAATTCAGGCAGTTTATTCACTGTCTCCCACCAAAGACACACTTTCCCTCTCCGTCCTCCCAACCACCAGCACCACAGGGACACGGTCCGCACGCAGCAGGAGTCGGAAAGATGCTCCCCTGCACCACGTATTTAGCACAGAGATGCGGAGGAGGCATTTTCTGCTTCTGGTTAGACGAGATACACATTCGATTTCTACTTCGCTCCTGAAACTCTAACCACCAGCTCAACGTGAGTAGTAACTGGGCCCGGATAAAGGTGGTGGTGGGGCAGGAGACCCTCCAGGGCGGGGCTGTGGCTGTCAGCGGGAAGGGGACCCCAGGGTGCTCCCACCACCTGCGATCCCAGAGGCCAGGTGAGGGC